TGGGAGCAGCAGCATCACAAAGAAGTTTAATCCTCACAGAAATGTTTTCCAAGATCATGTCTTTATAAGCACACTGTTCTGGGTAAAGGGGCATAAGCCATAAATATTATTCTAAAAATACAACAAGAAAGTCAACTTTCTAGCAGACAGTGACCTGTGATACACTAGAGTGTTCACTTCAACTGAAGGCATAGGTGCAAAGAGGAGATAAATTAAGATAAGCATTGTAGTATAAAAGAGTTGATTATTGCTTTTTATTTTATTGTCCATGTGCAAACCACTTTGTGATCTAATAGAACACGGCATAAGAACCCAATAAAAGTCAACATGGCAGCATGGATAGCGCCATTTACATATACATGAGTGGGACAGAGAGAAAGGAGGTGCTGTTGTCTTTTCTAAAAGCATCTTCACACTTCAGGAGAATATGAGCAAAGTACCATCAAAGATCAAAACAGAAGCTACCAACAGGACATGACTGATTTTGCTGCTGGAGTTTGGAGTAGTCTCAAGGGCTGACAAACATGCAGTTACACTGTCACTGTCTCCATTGCAAGGGTTTTTGTCTCAATGGCTTTCCAAATCAATAGGGACAATTCAGTCAAGCTTAACCTTAGATGTTTAAAGTATTTCAAAGCCCTTTATGGGTAACAAGTGAACCTTAAAACATACTGAGATTGTTATCTAGCCTAAATCTGCACACAGATCAGCTGGGCTATATTAGAGGCTTTTGAACACTATGAGTTGACAAGAAACCTGGATCATAATCTGAAGTCCATCTCCCAGTTTTGCTCATCTAACTACCTGATTTTTTTTCTCCCCTATGTTTTAGAAAGATATACCCTATTTGCCTTGAAATAAGGTAAGACACTAAAAAGCATCTGTAAGGTCAAATCCTCAACCATCACTCAATTTCAGTAGTCTTATATTTAAAGAATGCTAAATAAATCCTATTGAGTTACAGAAACAAAAAAAATGACCAGTTACTTCAAAAGCAAGAGAATTTCCATCCACAGACAGTTTCCTGTGTCTCTTGCCCTTCCTGTGACACATGATATCATGCAAAAGAAGACTAAATTGACACTTGCTATCCTCCCGTCCTGCAGTGTTTCAGGCCTCAAGGTAAAGTCTTGCTTCAATGGAAAGCTCTAAGTTTCACTTCAGGTCAAATATGAAGTTTGATGTTGCTACTGGATATTCTTCACAGATAAGATATTCAATATACAAGACCTCCAGTCCCTTTAGAACAGATTTTTTACTTGGAGGCATAGCCTGCAGCCAGAGCTGCAGAGTCTACATAATTCAGGGTAACAATTAACCACCGCTAGCTCATTACTGCTAAAATAATATTCCAAGTGCAAAGAAGTCATATAAATCCCCAAGAAACATGAAACAAGGACTCCTGGTTTTGTTCATGACTGGTATGACACAGCACCTTGTTATGCTGCCATTCACCCTGATGAGATCCTTCCCCTAAAATTTTGGCACATCACACTGGCATGTTCCTTGGATAAGAATGAGTGTGTAAGACTTGTCTGTTTTAAGGAGAGACACCTCTCCAAGCAGGACACAGCTGACTAGGAGCTCTGGGTGAAGGGATGTTGCTGATCTCACTCCTTACAGGAAATTCCCCTCAAAAAGCATCACTTTGGAGCACATCTGTTTCCGCAGCTTCGCTCTTCCTACTACTGCAAGTTTCTTGCTACTTTCATATTCGCTTTTTTCCCCCATGAGTTATTTCCAGACCTTCCTGGGTTTTTTAAAACTAGTTTTATTACATCATTGCTGTTGCCAGGCACGATCTGTCTGGTCCAAAGTAGATTCATGCAGCAAAGCCGGATCCCAGGACCTGCCAGTGGAGGCAAGACGGGGACTGCTGGCTGCCCTCTCCTGCCCAGAGCATCAGGCAGCCTTGCAGCTGAATACCTGCAGCCAGCCCATCACAAACAGCTGATGCCAAAACAAGCAAAAATACAACTAGAACTGTCCTGATGTGCCATACACAGACAGATGAATATTTTATTGTTATTCCAGGAAAGGCTTTTAAAAGAACACGACACAACAATTACGCAGAGCTGTCTCCGTACATGGATTAAAAATATAAGCAATCTAACACTTAAAGGACTTTCTTAATAAAAACATTGTTTCTAAAACCCACAAAATAGCTCAGACCATAACAGCTAAAAAGTGCACATAAGCTACAATGATCTTTTTAAATTACAGTTATGGCCAGAAAATTATTTTAATGATGGCAGAGAAGAAGAGTGATGAATTACAGAGATATTTCTGTTATGCAGAACAGAAGATGGAGTTTTGCCCAACAATTATCCATGGTCTGACTTTGAAAGTCTCTTCGACAGCATGATGAGTTTAATAACAGAGGCCTGATTCACTGACACTGATACCAAATTGTTATTTCTAGCACTCACTGGCTCAAACCCACAGCTTTGCTAATATTCTGCAGTTCTTTATTGCCAGAAATAGCATCTCTTTAGGAAGAATTCAGGCAGGTATCCAGCCTGTATACATCAGCATGTTTACATTTCAGTTGGCAAACGGCTGAAGAATAAATTAATCAGGCAGTTATGTTTATGGCTGCAAATGTCCTCCCCCTGTCTCTTTGGTCTTGTAAGTGCCCAGATTACACTGCATGGGTCTTCAAAGGTGCATTCACAACCCTGTAGAAGTCAGAGGGCACAGGCAAGATATACAGAGGTATTCAGCTGCACAGTGCCCACATTGGCACCCAACTCCATTTGGTTGCAATTAGAGATCATGAGACCTAAAAGTAACTCTACAGACCTTGGCTGTGTTTACTCAGCACCCTGTAGGCTCTCTGGAAATGGATGTAATCCCTACCGTGCTCAAAGTATGGAAGTGACTGGAGTAGTAGAAGAGCTGCCTGGAGAAGGGAGTGTGCCCATGCCACACGTGGGGCTGAAGCTCGCTGACCAAGCTGAACACAGGCAGTGAGAAGATCGCTGGTAATGACAGTAGAAGTTGGATCAAAGCCATGCCCTCTGCCATGACATCTTCAATAAGGCTTAGTTCCATCTGTTGTTGGGTTGGTTTGGGGCTTTTTTCTATAACTAGTTTTTACTTCTCAACCAAAACTATTATTTTAACCGATTTCAATGGCATATAGTTTGTTTTCTAAAAAATGGAAAGTATCAGTCGCTGTTCCTGCACGAAAAAAGAAATATCTGGAATTATTCAGCAAACTGGTGTTATATGAGGCTTTGAGAGTAGTTGGTAAATTGTGCAGAGAGCAAACCTTACTTACTTTAACTTTCAAATTTTGCAGAAAGGAACCAAACTGGAATCTTCCTTTGGCAAAAAAAGCCAAACCAAACAAAAACAAACAAAAAAACCCACAAAACCCCAAACACCACACACAGGAAAATCTGTTTCTATGGTTTTCAGATACTAGCTTTCCCCTTCGCTCCCTCCCCCCCAAAAAAAAACCCTGGCCTTTAAAAAAAATGTGACTCATTCCTGAACAGATTCTTATAGCTGGATTAAAGTGGTATCTCTGTCAATACTTCAATAGTATTAGTTGTTGATGCTGAAGAGTGTAAAAACCTGGAGGAATTAGCAGCTCTGCCTGCCAGGGTATCTCTTACCCACAGGCATTCTGTGTTGGAGAGCAGGAATCCTTCTCCAGCAGAAAATTCTGCCTTGTCATGCAATATCAAACACAAGTTGTTATCATTTATTATGTTAAGGCTTCTTAAAGCTAGCCAAAGCACCAAGTGCAAAGAGTATTGTTAATCTTAATTATTTCTAAAAACGAACATTATACTAGGACTATGTCAGATTTTAAGTTCATAAGTGCTGACAATGTAATTTTCCATGATGCCTACATTTTAAATTCCGGGAAAACTTTCTTCTTTTTTTTTTTTTTTTTTTGTCTTGGACTTCATAGAAATAAAACCAGCAAGACCCTTCCATCTGTTTGTCATGGAAGTTGATAACAATACACGTGAAATGAGAATGACCTGGACAGCTTAGCAGACATAAGCAAGAGTTTTGCTTTTATTATTAAAAATCCAAAACACTCAAAAAACCCCAGAAATTTAAACGACATGTAGTATCATGACTGAAATCTACTGTAGAATAATCTTCTCACACATTGTAGAGGTGATCATCACTTTTAAGGTCAACATTAGACAAATCTGAAGATTTGAGCCGGTTTCAAAGGGCACTGAATCTACTGCAGATTATGTGTCCTAGTAGGTATTGCACTAGTACTAATAAATCAGAGAGACACTGACATGTTCAAGTTTCATAGCAGTCAAAGCAGCATGCAAAATATCCATCCCAAAGAGCTCTCTTTTTGCTCTGCCTTGTGATACAAGGTAATGCAAAAGGGAAATGCAAATAATGCATTTCATCACGGATGCAATGATGTGTGTGCCTCCTTAGAAACCGTGAAGTGCATTATTTTGGATGAAAATGCATGATCTAAAGTTGGAACATCAAAGAAAATAAAAAGTGCAAATATATGCAGTATTTTATGTGCTAAATATAAAAGAGAGTAAGGCATTATATAGGGAAAATAGAAGCAGCTTGAAATAAGACAGATGGGAGCTAAGCATTATCTACTTTTCGTTAGCTTTATTAGTTACCTATCCACACCTATTGCAAAATGTGAGAGATATTTCCCTACGAAAGTACATGCATTTTCCCTTCCTGCCACATTTCCTGCATATAGATTCCAAAATAACACCGAAAACCTCAAAAAGGCAGATCCCACATTACAGTTTAGGTTCACATTTCCAGGAAACAGACTTAAACCAGAAAAAATCAGACTATTAAAGGGTTAAAAACTTAAGTGTGTCACGTTTTACACACACACATAAAAATTTGCTTTAATAAAGGACATTTAAGAGGAAGAAGCCACACAAGCTAAAGAAACACATCTCCTGCAGCAAGTGAGACAGGATACAAATGAACCCCAGAGCTTCACTAAGAATGAAGATCTGTTTTATTTCACTTACCAGTATTATCCATTATTCCCTCTCGGTATTCAAAAAAGCACAGTTCCCCAGAAAAGCAGCCGGTATGCTCTCAGTCTCACTCTCACTAATGAAGCTGGCTGCCCTTCTCCTGGTTATTAGACCTTGCTGGCAGTCAGAGCATACTTCATGTACTGACTGCAGTAGACATCACCAGGAAATTTATATCTCCAAGGATGACAAACAGCCATTAGCTCCATTATAGGCTGATTAAGACTGTGTGAGCCTATCAAGTAGATACTTAAATCCCCCAGGGTTTTACATCCTCAGGGAGAAAACAAAAGAACTCCTGCCTATAATATTGAATATACACTTCTGAAAAGTAAAAGTAATGCTGATGAGGAGAGGTTTAATGGGTAAGAAGGCAAAACTTTAAATAAAAAAGGGATATATTACAGAGCAAGGGGCTGTTATTTATCAATGACGCAGCAGCAAAAGTTTTAAGGAGAAAAAAAAAAGGGGAGGAATCTATGGCTGAGAAAGTGTTAGGTTAGGTTACAGTTTGGAGCCATTACCTCTGGCTGTGCTTTAAATCCTACAAGTTCTACACCTGATGTTCCCTACATCAAATGTTCTCCTGTTTGTGAGAAACACAGTAGATGTGCTTATCTATGAATGAATATCAATATATTAACAGCCTGGGGACAGGCATTATTATACTGTTCGTAGCTGAATGTAAGGAAAGACTGAAAAGTAACTACAGGGCTTTACTTCTTTTAAAGTCAAAGTAAAAACACTGGATGCTGGAGGGATTAAACTCAACAAAATCTGAATGACATGTGCTGAAATAAACAGGTATTACTTCTGAATTTTCCATACTACCTGAGTCTCTGACGCATAGGCTTTTCCCCCATAGAAGTAAACAAGCAAACAAACAAACCCAGTATAGACTAATAAACATTTCCTGGTACCAGGATATAAGGGTTCCTGGTACCCAGGGTATAAGGGTTCCATCCACCATTTTGGCACTGATTTGCTGTGTAACACTAAACCAGGAGTTTTCTGTTACAGTGTTTGCCCAGTGGTGACAGAGTAACCATTACACACATGCCCTGTGGTAAAAAAGAATGTCATATAGTACTGACACTACATAAATGCCACAGAGTATTTTCTTAATATTTTTCCCTTCTATTAGACAATTCACTTAGCTACTCCAATCCTCTTTATTGCAATGGAAAAGAAATACAGATTTTTATGTCTATATTATATTGACACGAAACCCCCTCCACCTCACAGCATCACACGAGCAAAAAAATATATTTTCTATTCATCACCCCTTTACTGCCCCTTTTATCTTATTTGTCCTTTTAAAATGTTAAATAAAAAGACAGTTCCAGCACTGATCTATTTACACTGATTAAGAAGTGGAAAGCATCAATAGCTGAGAGCTAAAGTCATCAGCAAGAATGGAGAATATCTAGGGCATACTGGATATATTCTGTATTTCCAGAAAGGAAGCGCTTGGAGGGCTAAGGAGAGACTAAAGATTAGAGATCTGTCACACTTCATATTAAGCTTCTATTTATAAGTGGCTTATGAACAGCTTATAAAAAATAGAAGTTAGCATAAGCATGTTGCATTAGTACGTCACGGATAGCTACAACCACACTAATACAAAGGGTTAAATATGACCAATAAGGAACTTATTCATTTGCTAGATTCTGCATCACTTAATGACAATTGATTAATGTGCCAATTTGGGTAATTGGTTAATGGCATTTGATGAAATCTAGCTGCAGAGGAGCACTAAACTGGTGGCTGTGAGATGGCCACCTGATAGAGGTCACCATTTTTCTTCAGCTTCTCTTTGGGAGATAGCTGCCTGAAGATTGCCAGATTCCTGCAGAAAAGGAAGGAAAGCACAGGCCCTTGGTGTGTCTTTAAAGCCTGTCCTGGAGAGAGCTGAGGGATGTACTGCTGCACTGGCAGACTGTTTGGAAGAGAAGGGCAGAGACTGTGCCTTTGTGCTAAGGTGCTATTACTCTTCTATGGAGCCAAACCATGGGGACGGCAAGCTGCCTGTGTGAAAGGAAGAGATTCCCTGATTTTTGAGATGGGGCTTGAAGAACTGCAAAACCTACAGGTGCCTGAGCTCAAACAGCACTTAGGGATGGTGCCAAAGCCACCACAGGGCAGAAGGATATAAGCATATTTTAAATCTTAGCAAGTATGCAAATATCTTGTGCTGATTAAAACTAAGAGAGATTGGGTTTGAATCCAATTTGTTTGCTTTGAGTTTCATTGGTGGCCAGGAATGGGGAGCTCTGTGCCTGAGAATCCACTAGGCGGTGGTGCAGCTATAGGGAACCAGTACTAACCCTTGTGGCTGGGGAATACAGGTGGGTAACAGCTTGTGCCAGAGAGCCCAAGAAAGGTGCAAAGCTGCACCTACTTAGACCTCGGGCAAGTGAAAAGCTCCAGACAGTGACTATTTCTGTGTGGCAGAGTGGTCCTAGTGTGCATGCCATGGCTGAACCTCAACTGCAGGGCAGACGGGCTTCGTGGTGTACTTTGGGGTGCTGGTCCCCCAGTCACACAGATGAGAAGACCTACCGGAGAGTAACAGAGCTCCCTTCCTGCCCACAACCACATGTAAAAGATAGTAATGTGTACCCACGTCCCACCATGACATCCAATTCAGATATAGTCACAGCTTCAAGTTAGCTGAGGATCAGGATTTTAAGGTGCTAACTAGAGTATGGAAAGTCTCAATTACAGCAGCTTGATAAGCATTGAGTTTGGATGCTTCATCAGGGCTGTGTGACAGGTAAACATTTATTAACTCTTGAAAGCTAACTATAAATGGAAATTTCTTATGGTATATGCTGTGAATCTCTACCATTTGAACAGAGAGTATCTCACCAGGAACCTTCCAAAAAAGAGAAAGCTTTACAAAATACATTACTTGGGTTTTTATTTTTAATTGTAGGTAATTAGAATTAATAGAAATTAAGAAACGTGTATGATCAGATGCCATTATAGCAGGATTAAAGCAATGTCTCCCTGACTGAACACGTATGAAAAGAAAGATACAGATAATAGATGGAGTTCAACAGCAGACTGTGATTGTTATTTAAAAGTAAAATATACATATATTTCTGTCATAAACTTACTTAATTTGTGAGTACAGAGCAACCCCATCACAACCCATAGTTGCATGACACCAAAATGCATCAGCCTTTTTAAGGACAATTTTGGGTAAGGACTAAGACCAGATCTGCACAGGTCCAAAGCTCTCTGTCCACCTTTCAAAGATCTCATACTCCATCACACTGTATCCCAGTTTTCTTCAGCTTTGAGGTGATCCTGTCTAACAGCCCATTTTGGTCATAGGCACTTAAGACCTGGGCTCAATTTCATGTTCATCCAGAGACTTCCTGAACAATTTTGCACAAGCTCCTCCAACATCTGACCTAGAAACGACCTTGCTTGCTTCCCACACCTCAGCTGTATGAGTATAAATACCCTGGAAGCCGTGCGATGTTAAGAGGCGATGAAGTAGCTAACTCAGATAACCAGTGCCACCTCTCAGAGAAGAAAGCATTACGGCGTACATTAGAAGCACTGCTAATGACACAGAACCCTAATGATCCTATTCTCCAATATACCTGATGTACACTGCCTGCTGCAGTAATGACACTTCACTCTCACAAAAATCAATGAGGATTCACAGAGGCACAGAAATCTGCCCAGGTAAGACGCAAATAGAGAAATCAAGGCAAACAGAGACCTCAGCACCCAGCCATCGAAAACACTTTGAGTTGACAAACATGCAGAACCAATGTACAGCTTCAGCTGTGGTGTTTCTGATCATGACAAAGATGTCTATTAACACATTTAGAAAATGTGAAATCTGTCTCTACTCAGTGCATATTTGTCACTGCAAAGATCTGACTCCATAAGATGCCATTTCGGGCAAAATGTTTCACTTCCCTTTCACTGTGTCTGTTTCTTCCCACACAGAACTCATCATGCAGGTGTCTCTGGGAGAAGATATACTTGGTTTTAGATGCTGTGGGTTCGAATAGTTAACGTCAACACTCTAAATATACAGCTTCATGCAATTCTTCTAAGTGTCCACCAATTCCTAGGGCAACAACCACGCTGAGTCAAGTGATCTGTAGCTCTCCAAAAGGTATTTCCTTCTGTGAAGTACACTTCCATTCACCAGTGGTGGGGCGGTTTCACAGGGAGGGAAGGAAGGACACAGTGAAGGCATGGGAATGGCTGCAAATATCTGGGCTCTGCTACAGATAAATCCCAGTCTTTCAGTCGGTAACAAAGATTGTCACTGCAAAAGGATGCTTTATAAACTGCACCAAGATCCTTAAGTAGTAACATCTCTATAAATACAGAGCTGTTAGATGCACATTCTTTAGGCTTTAGGTATGTGAAAACCATCTCTCCTCTGGCACATTCTTGAAAATTGCTAGGCAAAAGAGAGAGCCTCTTGAGGAAGTGCTCAGTAGTATGCATGGATAGGCTTCCCTGGGTAAGGGTAGAGGGTTCAGCACAATGCAAGACCAACCTCTAACAGACACCTTCCCCAAACCTCAGCAACTATCATCTCAGCATCACTGGGAGAAGGTTTTGCCAAGTATCTTTTCCCCACCTTACAGAGGCGGAAGAGTTTGAGAGCAGGACAGTAACAAGGATACACTTTTCCTGTGAAGAAGCTAGAGTTCAACCTGGAAATATTGTTAATACACTGCTACAAGTGCACAGGATACTTTATTTTGCCAAGCAAACAAGAGCCTTTTGTTCCCTGGGAAGACTTTATCCTTGAACAGCCTGGACAGATGCAGTGGATCTGACTCTTGCCAAAAGCCGTGAGGGGAGAAGCAACACCTCTGAAGTCAACAGATTTAAACTGATAGAAAACAAGAAGAGAGTGGGATTCAGACAGCAATATGTGGTCGTTGTAGGTTGGGAGTTTCACAGCACAGATGGGTTTTCAGAAGGAGCAGGAAGGGGCTCGGCATATGTTGAGTTCAGTGCAGAAATGTGTGGCAGGGCTGAGTGAGAGAAGGGACAGAGGAAGTGGGAGAGGAGAGAAGGGACATGGGGAGAGGTCAAGAAAGAGGTTTCAGCATATCATGAAGAGAGGTACTCAGCAGGAAACAAAAGCATTGGCAAGAAAAACATCTCTGAATGC